TGGCGATGAGAAAGGAATTCCCGCAGATGTAACTCAGAAACCTGACCTAAGAATTGGATCCAAGTAGACCGGACTTTGGGCCCAGTTCATAAGAAAGCCCTCGGCATTTCTCAGGCACTTGTTGGTGTCAGTAAGGCCTGTTTCAGGATATATATATAGATGCGGCATGTACGTTTGAAGGATTCTCTATATACGTCGAATGTGCTCTGGTTAAACATCTTGGGGAGGGGAATGCTTGTGCTGTCCTGCTTCGGGGACTTATGGTTGGCAAAGTGTTCCCCATTGGTTGACGACCAACCCTAAGCACCGAAAGGTTCGGCTGTCTGGATCGTAACACATCTTAGGGTGTTTGATCCTTGCAAGGGTCATCTTCCTCAAGGCAAAGCGGTCCTTCAAAAAAAAAAAAAACAATACGGCCAAACTAGCTCAGACGCAGTTCTACGGATTCAATAAGGAAGAAGTCAAAGCACAAGCTGCCCGCAAAAACTGCGGGCAAACCACATCTGCAATGATATGAATCTGGCCTGTAGCCAGGGCCAGTCGGGCATGAACCCTGATGACCTAGATCCGAGGATCTAGAAGGCTGACCTGTCTAGGCTACACCCCCTGAAACTGATTAGTTCCTAGACAATGTCCATTGGTCGAATTGTCCCAAGGGATTCAATTGCTGGGTCCCATGTTAGACAAGTTTGCTGCTTCTCTCGGGTTGCTCGCTCAGGTTCCTACCGGTGACCTTTGTGGAATTCTTCGTCTTTGAAAAAATGATGTCAGGCTCTTAACCCACGGCAAGGCATATGTTTCTTGCGCAAGGGGACATGGGCACATTGGATGGTCCCTCTCGCTTTTTGGGGGATTTGGGTTGTGCCCCTATGTCCGCCTCAAACAAACAGACCATTAGTAAGTTTGTTGGTTGGTCATACTGAGTGACGGGGAGCCGACCCAAAAAATACCCTGGGCAAAGGTCTGCTTCCCGTGCCACTATGCTGCGCCTGCAAGCCTCTACATGAGTCTCATGTAGCGATGGGAGTCTGACGGTCAAACGGTCAAACTTACCCCTACCGCTCCTAGTGGCACCTGTCAAGCAAGCAAATCTTTGCTCGACCACGGCACACATTCTCCGTAGTTTCTTGAATTTCTTGGGACCCATTTCAGTTCGAACAGGGCATTGCCGTGCATTGTCTAGCTGAGCATTTCCTCCAAACAACAAATGGCGGTGTCTTTTGGTCCGGTGAACCAAATCCTTCGAGGCTCCTTTGATTCGCCAAGGGCCAAGGCCTCAAAAGCACTCATGGCTCGGGGAGTCAAACACCCCTTGGTGTCCCTTCAAAACTCACAAAGGGCGACACTCAACAAATCCTAACTTGTGGATTTGGTGTTCAAGGGACACCAAAAGGAGAATCACAATTTAAAGGGGGGGGGGTCCACAATAAAAAATGCACCCAGACCCTTTTTGGGGATGGTTTAGACGGAAACACCTTCATTTTGAGGGTTTCTCTGTTCAGAGTCAAGTAACATGATGAGCCCTTCACCAAAGGATCTTATATGGGTATGTCTTTTTCGGGGACTCCTCATGTGATCTTTTTGTTGGGCATCCCTTTTGCCGTTCACAAACCCTGGAACGGTTCCATTCTACCAAGACACCTTATCCCCTTGGGTTCAACCCCATCAAAAGAATGGTTGACCCAACTTATATGATGACAATCCTTCGGTAAATCATGGTTCTACAACCCCCATGGCTTTAATATGGCTTTAATGGTGCTTGGAACCCCAGGGTCATAAAATCTCAACCCGCTTCGTTTCGTTTCGGACGGGCCGGTATCCATCGTCTTCATCCCGAGGCGCGGATCCCCGAAGTCCCCGGGCTCCCGGCTCTCCTCCTGACCGAAGCTTGGGCTGACGGCGGAGATTCCCTCCGGAGATGGGCCGCGGCCAGGGCTCCACTTTTTGACAAGATGGACTTAAACCTGTTTTTTTTGGAGGACATAATGCTGGGTTTAAGTCCACCTTAGAATAGTCAAACAAATGGGTGTCTGAAACAATTAAAAGGGAGTGTCTTGAAAAAATGGGTGTCCCCTTGCAACATAAGAAGACACACCAAGAGGGGGAATGTGGTTGTGGAACATGCACACGAAATCTGCGACACCGAAAATTGTAGAAGTCGCGTCTCCATGACTGCTTTATCACTGGGTTTCCTTGGGGAATCTTGAAAGGGGCAGATCCTGAAATGGGGTTCCTGAAACAGCTTTTAGGAAGCATCCTGAAATCGGAAATGATGTCTGTGTTGTGTTCAGCTCAAATTGGAAACCCGCGTGTTGTTATGTTTGTCCAACTGAGCTTTCAGCAAAACGTAAGATATCATCCTGAAACAAAAGAGCTGCATTTTGAAGGACATCTGCGATTCTGGCGATGGTGGTTTCCCCGCAAAGCACGATACCATCATTCCAGTTCTACTTTCCCATCTTCTAGCGATCCCTCTTGTGACAAGAGTGGCCGCCACCCAAAGACCTGGAGTTGGTCTCTTGAGGAAGGATGGGTCGACAATGGTCGCACACAAAATGACTACCTTTGAATTCGCTTGAGAACAAGCCCCTCGCAAGAACCCGCTTCATTGCAGGCCTGGCATTTTTGTTGGCCGCCTCAAAGGGCCATGGACCAAATGCCGAAGCTCAAGGGCGCTTTCGCGCTCACCAGGTCGGCGATCGGCTTCGGTCCTGCGCCCAAATGCTGAGCTCCAGGAAGAGGATGACGACCATCAAAATGCCTTGGCTCGGGTTTTTGTACACGGGATTACACCCGAAGGGCAAATGAATAAACCCGAAGAGAAAAGCATGCCCTTCCTCCTCAAGCGCGTTCGCAGCTTCGGCGATTCGGGATATTGATCTGCGCGAATTTCAGGCAAAACCGGTGTCAGCGATTGGCCAAGTACCCCGAGTTTTCGGTCAATGCTGATCGGCTGTATGGGTGACTTAAAAGTGATCGTGAAAAGCTAAGGCAGGCCACATGCCGCCTGAGGATCAATCACTCCGCAACAGTGGTTGAGACGGCCAACCGCAGTCAACTACAAGGCGTCCCTTGAAGGCGTGCATTCAGAGCAAGAATCCGGCGTCCCCTGGACTTGCTGCTTGCTCCGCCGAGGTAGAATGAAAACCCCCCTGAGCAATAGCATAGCTTATGATACATCCAAGTCCAAGATGTCCGTAGAACATACACCTTTCGTGGACGGTTGAGGCGGTGTGTTCGCCTCTGGGAAATGACATCTTATTGTAAACAAGCTGTGGGTTTCAAGTCAGAGGTGCAACGCTCAATCAGCGAGCGAAACAAGTTCCGAGATGTTCGGCAATGCTCAGGGAACCCTTAAACCTCCAGCTGAGTGCCAAGCTCAAATAAGGCCGATTCGAGGGGACCTCCATATTTCATGCCGGCATCCTGGGCCAATCATGTTTGTCGCTTCTCGCGAGGTACTGGAACATCAGTCTGATGGAAGAGCAATCGGAAGATTGGGAATTGGAGATCTTTGTGATCCCTATCTGAAACCTACCAATCAGTTCATCCTGGTCAACACTGCGAAGATCTTTCCGTGCTACTGAATTGGTAGAGCGCGGGGACGGTCATCATGGTGTTGAAGGTGCTAACCCAGTCACTCCTGCGCTGGCTTTGCAGATTCGTCTGGCCACGTATGACTTTTTGCGCTCGATCTGCAATCAAAATGGTCATCGTTTGGCAACAACGAGCTTCTCAGTGATACCAAGTTGGACCGTTGGATGCAGGATGACTGGTGACCAAGATGGGTACCCACCATGCAATCTACCACGTGCCAGCAACAGCCCTAGTAACCTAGTAAGCTGGAAAGACTCAGAGAGAGAGAGAGAGAGGGAAAGAAAAACCGAAGAGACAGGCAAAGAGAAAAGAACAAAAAAACAAAAACAGAAAGAGAAAGAAAAACGAAAGAAAGAAAAAAAAAGAAATCAAGAAAGTGAGCGAAAGAGAGGCAGAGAGAGGGAGAGAGAAATAGAGAGAGAGAGAGAAAGAGAGAGAGAGATAAAGAGAGAGAGAGAGAGAAAGGTAGATGGAGGTGGATGAAAGCTAGCAACTTTTGGAAGTGCATGAGGCTGATGTGCAGCTCTAAAAACCTTTGCTATCCGTTTCTGCGCTTTGAGTGATCCGGAACGTTGTAATTTGCAAAAAGCTATGGGTTGGGCTTTGATAAACATACCAAACTGAGTTGAAGCTAAAGGTCAGAACCAAAGGGGGGAGACTGCGATAAAGGCTGGATTGCCTGAAGCTGGTTAACAAGCAACGATGAACCTGGATCAATGAGAATGGCGAACCAATGTTTGGGAGACGATCACACTCTGCCAAAGCAAACGTAACCAAACCAACACAAAACCCACACCAGTCCAAACCAGCAATCCAACATAACCAATTCTCAATTCTCCAACCCGCCGAAAAGAAAAAAAAAAAACCAGCCAATATTTCCCACTGCCTGAAAGCCACTCAACAAGCCAGCATGCACACGCACGCATGCCAGTCACGTCTCATGTGAAAGGCAAATTTATGACTCAGCGCAGAGGGTCGAATAGGCGCTGGGATCATAGCATGCTGCATGATTCAGACATAGGGATGCGACAAGGTCAAAACCAGGATGGATCACACAAGACACTGCACGTTTCAAAACATGACTGGAACTCGCGACTCGGAGCAATTCTCCCTGCAAGTCAGAGGACCAGAATCTCCGGCCCCGTACCTCAATCTACAAGAGGGCTCTCCACTGAAGAATCCGCCGACGCCAGTCGAGCGTGTAGATGGCAGTCCGCAACTTGGTCTTCCTTCGGAATCTCTTCTCAAAGCCGAAGGCTTTTGGGACTGCTATTTTTTGGGCATGCTGTGCTAGGTGTCCAAAACCTGTATTTGTTCCAGTGTGTTTGGGTCTTTCGTGCTAAAAATCTGCGTTTCGCCTAATTCTCTAGGGGGGGGGTTTCCCCCGGACGCGCAGGATCTGCATCCCCAGCATCATCAGGATTGCCTCGTTGCCAGACACTAGTGGTGTTTTGCTGTTTCAAGCGATGTTGGAATTGGCCTGTTAGGGGCTTGGGTGGGGCCATGCAGTAATTTGCAAAAATGAGTGTTTTTTTCGAAATTCCCCACCTGTACGGAGCAGTTACTGCGAAACATCCCCTGCGTTATCGTGCTTTTGGAAGTCTATTTTTAAGGTATTTGAGGGGGGGTTGCTAGTATCGGTTTTTGATGGTTGCTTTTTGGAAATATCGAAAAACCATAAGTTTTTGCTCATTTTTTTGGCTAGCCGGTTCCCAGCATTCCCCCACATCTCTGGTATTTTCTGTGTTTGGTCAATGTTGCGTGTCTGAGAGCCTTAAAATCTTGAGCGCGAAGATTGGGTCTGTTCCTGTAAGTTGTGTGGTTGCATCCCTTGCATTTCCAGCATCCTAAGCACTGGGACATGAAAAACAGAAAGGTGCCAAGAAGGCCTTGTTGTACATGCAAAAAAGGGGCCTTGCGTTTATACCCTTTCGGGGGGTGGTTTAAAGAGTAGACCCTAGTGTTCTTCTCCTGTCAAGTGTTCAGCCCTGCTGCCGGAGTCAGAGCAGCGTTGTTTGCATTCTCGTTAAGAGCCCCATGTCACCGAAGCAAAAAACATCTTTCTCCTTACCCCAAATTCGCCCTCATGCAACCTAGACCAAAAAAAACGTCTTTTTCGTTACGCCAAATTCATGGCACCTCAGAGGCGTTGTGTGTTCTCCTTCCACGGGCGTTGCTTGTTCTCCTTCCAGACATTAAGGCGTTAAGAGACCATGTGACCTGGGCAAAAAAACGTCTTTTCCTTACCCCAAATTCGAGGCACCCTCTCCTTCCACGTGTTAAGAGCCCCATGTGACCTAGGCAAAAAAAACGTCTTCTTCCTTACCCCAAATTCAAACTCACCTAAGAGGGGCGTTGCTTGTTCTCCTTCCAGTTCCAGGTGTTAAGGCGTTAAGAGACCCATGTGACCAGGCAAAACGACGTCTTTTTCCTGACCCCAAACTTGAGGTGCCCTGCAGCCAACCTGAGGGTGTCGTTTGGTCTCTTTTCACTTGTTAAGAGCCCCATATGAGCTCGGCAAAAAGACGTCTTTCTCCTAACCCCAAATTCAAGGCACCCTCTCCTTCCGTGTTAAGAGCCCCAGATGACCTAGGCAAAAAAAGTCTTTTCCTTACCCCAAATTCGAGGCACCCTCTCCTTCCACGTGTTAAGAGCCCCGTGTGACCCAGGCCAGAAAAACGTCTTCTTCCTTACCCCAAATTCAAGGCACCTAAGAGGGGCGTTGCTTGTTCTCCTTCCACAGGGGCGCTGCTTGTTCTCCTTCCAGGCGCTAAGGGACCCACGTGACCTGAGGTACCCTGCGGCCGACCTGAGAGGCGTCGTTTGGTATCCTTCCACGTGTCAAGACCCCATTTGAGGCAATTGAGAAAGTTGCTTGCTCTCCTTCCAGGCGCTAAGGTGTTAAGAGACCCATCTTTTTCCGTACCCCAAATGCGAGGCACCCTCTCCTTCCACATGTTAAGAGCCCCATGTGACCTAGGCCAACAAACGTCTTCTTCCTTACCCCAAATTCAAGGCACCTTAGAGGGGACCCCAAACTTGAGGTGCCCTGCAGCCGACCTCAGAGGGGCGTCGTTTCGGTCTCTTTTCACACTTGTTAAGAGCCCCATATGGCCTAAGCAAAAAGACGTCTTTTTCCTGCCCAAATTCAAGGCACCCTGCAGCCAACGTCAGAGGGGACTGTTTGTGTTCTCCTTCACGCATGAAGAGCCCCAGTTGACCTAAGCAAAAGAAAGCCTTTTTCCTTACCCCAAAATTCGAAGCACTCTGCAGCCCACGTCAGAGGGGCGTTGTTTGTTCTCCCTCAACACGTTAAGAGCCCGATGCGACCTAGGCAAGAAGACGTCTTGTTCCCGGCCCCAAATTCGAGGCACCCTGCAGCCGACGTCAAGAGGGGCGTTGTTTGCGGTCTCCGCGCTAAGAGCCCCACTTGACCTAGGCAAAAAAAAGTCTTTTTCCCGACCCAAAATTCGAGGCACCCTGCAACGTCAGAGCGGCGTTGCTTGTTCTTCTTCCACGCGTTAAGAGCCCCACGTGACATCAGTCCCAGCTTATTAATAGGGGACTGTCCACTGGCATCGGCGGATCGCGTAGCGATTTCAATATGCGACGAAACCTTATTTGTGCCAACCAAAGGAGAGAGACTGGAGTTGGTGTCCTGTGTTCCCTTTAAAGCCACCCAAATGAGAAAGCACCCTCGAAACAAGGAAACCAGCAACATAGGGTAATAGTATTGCAAGCAAAGAAACCGACAAACAAAACAACAACAAAAAACTCATGTACAAGAAAACAAACACTGGAAAACAGCTACCAGAAAAAAACATGAAACAAATATTTACATCAACAAGAACAACAAACCCTTTACATTAAAACAAGATGCAACCCACGAACCCGAATCCCCATATCAGTTTTCAGTGGAAACGGAGAGACAAGTTTAGAGCGAAACATGTATAAAAAAACAAGTCTTGAGAGATAAGTCTTAAGAGACAAGTTTGGGGAGATAAGTTTGGGGAGACAAATCTTGAAAGACAAGTTCAAAGAGAAAAAACTTGAAAGACAAATCTTGAGAGAAAAGTTTGAGGGGCATATGCAGGTCACTCACGAACCCGAACATTCCTGCAGGGACAAGTCTTAAGAGAGAAATATTGAGAGATACGTCTTAGGACAGAAGTTTAAAAAAACAATCTTCAGAGACAAGTATAGAAACACAAGTCTGGAGAGAGAAGTCTACAAGTGACAAGTTTTGAGCGACAAGTCTGAAGAGACAAGTCTGGAGAGACAAGTCGACAAGTCACAAGTAATTAAGTCACAAGTCTTGAGAGACAGGACTTGAGAGACAAGTCTAAAGAGACAAGTTTGGAGAGACAAGTTTGGGGAGACAAATCTTGAGAGAGTCGAGAGACAAGTTTGAGGGGACAAATCTTGAGAGACAGGTTTGAGAGACAAGTTTGGAGAGAAAAGTCTTGGAAGACAAGTCGACACTTCTTCTTGTCTCAAAATGTGCACCACGCCACAGCAAAAGCGATTCGACCCGCCCAAAGTGCGGAGAGGGTTCACTTTGCATTTTCAAAATGTGCGCCACGCCACAGCGAGAGCGATTTGATCCACCCCAAGTGTGCAGACTTTGCATTTTCAAAAAGTGCACCGCGCCACACCGAGAGCGACTCGACCCACCCAAAGTGCTGCGCCTGCCACGACATCAGCGCGCAAGCTCGAAAGTACTGCGCCTGCCACGAAATCTGAACGAAAAGCTCTAAAGTGCTGCGCCTGCCACGAAATCAGAATTTGACACTCTTGCGCCGCGCGCGGAAAACTGGCGCGGGACTGTAGCGCCAGAATGATTTCGACCGATTTCTTGCAAATCTGCAGTCGTGAAAACGAGCCGATTGTACGACAGGGCCAACGAAAACGACACTCCACCAGCAAACGCTTTCCACCAAAACACCTCCAAACGACGACCCCTGAAACGCGAATCCCACTGCACTTGCAACGCAAACGTGAAGCCTCACGAAACACTGCGCCTGCGCAGCGAAATGACACGTCGAGCTTGAGAAGCTACGATTCGCGCACAGGGCCAACGAAAACAGCACATCACAAGTCATCAAACTCACGCGTTCTGCGCTTCCCCACTGGGAGAGCTATAGCGCAATCATACGAACTGTGGCGGACGGTTGCGAACTTTTGCGGACGGTTGCACAACATCCGGCGAACAAGGCTTCACCCCCAGACCCCCAAGATGAAACGAGAACCCTATGCTACGCATTCGGAAAAAAATAGAGAACAAAACGAAAAACAAATACAAACGATTTGAAAAAAATGCATTTACAAGACTCTAAAAACGTTTTTCATTTACAAAAGCAAAACTTGAAACAAAAAAACAAACAAACAAACAAACAAACAAACAAACAAACAAACACACAAACAAACAAACACACAAACAAACAAACAACAAACAACCAACCAACAAACAAACAAACAAAATACAAAAGGACCATGTGGCCCTCAGTCGACCCCATCGGTCCCTGCCAGCTCAAAGCCCGGGAGCTTCACGAAGTGCTGCACCACAAAGCCCACCGAGGCCTATGCCACCAAGTGGCACAACCAAAGAAAAAAAAACGGCATGGGGCGTGTCTGAAAATCTGAAAAAAACATGTTTTTTTTTTTTGGGGGGGGTTTATATGTGGTTTAACATTTGTTTGGGTGTTTTATATGTGGTTTAACAGTTGTTTGGGGTGTTTTATATGTGGTTTACCAGTTGTTGGGATGTTTTACATGTGGTTTACCAGTTGTTTGGGTGTTTTATATGTGGTTTAACAGTTGTTGGGGTGTTTTATATGTGGTTTAGCAGTTTTGGGTGCTTTATATGTGTGGTTTGACAGGGTAACGCTATCTTAGGGGGTGGTTTTTGTATGTGGTTTCCTTCTTAACCAATCCAAAAACGGAATAGTCTTCGAAAAGGACGAAGTCAGATGTCCTTGTGTGAACAATTGGGAACATCTTTCGCAACTGCATGCCTGGATATGTGAAGTCCCCTCTTTTGCTGGAAAATAGAAAACAACTTACGCCATACAATGCCTAAAATGGTGCCGACACTAACACCATCCTGGCATTAACATAGGATACGCAACATCACTCGCCATTTTGAGGGTGCAATGTTTGCCTCATAAATCACCTTTGGCAATCGTGAAAAGGGATGAAGCGGCTACAAGAAGTGACTGTGTGCTTAAGATCTCCTCATGGCTCGGTCCATGTTGGCTTTCTTTCAAAAGCACGCCAGCTCCAAGTGGGAAACGTACGCCAGCACCACCACCCCCCCCTCCCCAAGCACTGCTTTTTGGGAAGTACTTGAAACTTTGGACATGGACAACGCTGCTATTGGGGTATTGGTATGTGGGCATTTAAAATATGTCCAAAAACAAGAAGACAAACACTGTACTTTTGCGGGTTCAGTTTCCTCAGTCATTGTTCGAAGCCAATGTTCTGTGTGGATGTGTACACGCCCTTCAGTCATGGAAGCTGATCCAAGATTCGGCTCTGGAAGACTAAGTAATTACTTGCCGTTTGGGAATGCCCCAAAACGTCCACTGCCATTGTTGGCAAGAGGGGAACTGATTCCAGCTGCTTCAATCAGTACTAAGGGAAGCCTCTGGTTTCTTCAGAGAGAGGGGTCCCGGTCCCGCCATTTCCGCAAAGGAAAATCATCATACCTTGCACACGGCAAGGTAAGCGGCTGTCTTGTTTTTGAGGGTACCCCTTCTTGGTAGGTGTTTGAGGGCAACCCATGAAAGAAGACAAACCCCAATAGCCATGCCTTTGCGAGACAAGACGGGGCGTGTCCAGATGCCTGCCATGGTAATTACAGTGCCTCAAGTCGACGTGGAGTCAGTTACCAGGAGTTTCACACTCAGATCGCGCAAGGTCTGCAAACCAAACAGCATCCATTGTCCAACATTGTTTACGCTTTGTTCCCAACACCATACACTTGGCTAACAGAAAACAAGGCCACACGGCTTTATCATATGTATGTATAAATATATATATATATATATGTCATTCAATGTATTGCCCGCATGGCTACTGTCAGTCAACAAGTGTGAAGAGTAGAGTCACACGTTCGTAAAGTGTGACCGGTATGAGTACTATTGTAGGGCTGAAAATCGCGTCAAACGTTCGTGTTGGTCATGGCTCCTTTCTCAATTGGTTTCCTTCCTACGGACTCGAGACACAGTTGACGACCAGAGGCAGGTTGCCGCAATCTGGCATGGGGAATCATTAAGAAGCACAAACAGCACACACACACATCGAAATGCATAGCCTACACACACACACACACTTTTCCAAGATGACATGAATCCAAACTCTTGCTTCCGACATTTGGACCAATGGCCATGGTTGATAGGGCTTACCGGCTTAGATTATTTTTCAACCTTTCCCCATTTGGTCGTTTGCTCTGAGAGCCCGCGATCCCGCGATCCCGAGGCACCATCATGGCAACACGGCCATGCTTCAGCTCCGCCGCTCTCTTGAAGCGGAACCTCGGCCAGCCAATCGAAGCGCCCAAACCTCCAGTTGTCAAAAGGGTCCTTTGCAATATTTGTCCTTGAAAAGGCACCGGAGATCGGCGGCACAAAAAGGGACCCGCCGGGAGTGTAGCCCCAAAGCCGTCCCCAAGGGGAATCTGCCAACATGAGTGTTCACTCCAAGGGTTGAAGTCTGGTCTTGCCCACGAGCTTGCTTGTAATCTGGGATGAACAAAACCAACGGCACAGGACAGCAGCATGCGGTGTCGGTGTTATGTCCTCTTTGTCGTTTTGCAGAGATGGTTGCCGTTTTACGTCCTAGCTTGCTTGGAAAGCACTTTGTAAGTTGCTCAAGTAGTGTGTATACAAACTCTTGATGCACAAACCAAGCAAGACTTGTCGCTCCTAAACAAAACTCAATGGGCAAAAGGCTTGCTGGCAAGGTGCGCCTCACTACATTACATCAGTATCAAACGGTGATATATCAGTTGTTCTCGGTTGGCCGGCCATGCTTGCCCAAAAGAAGTGCCCGTGGCTCGCGGCTTTTGTACCGAAGACGTCTCCGAATGTCGATCAAGTAGATATAACGAAAACGCACGGCTTCCCTCCCATGGGATCCTGATATACATGTATATATATATATATATTATGCACTACACATCGTATATGTAAATGTACTGTATTTAATACTCGAGCCAGAGGCATCTCCAGGTTGCACAAAACTTCTGTTTCTAAACCCAACGCAACAATGTCCGAGATCCAAATCTCACTTGCCCAAAGGACCTGGAAATAAGAAGGTTACCCTTTTGGGACCTTGACTAAACATGGACCAACCAGGGGAAAACCAACAGGTCACTTCAGGTCTTTAGCAAAGGGAGGCCGAGCCACCTTTAGCCCGGAGCTAATGTCGCGTCGGACCCCTGAAAAGGCCCCGCTAAAGAATGGCATGCGAAGCAAGCTGGGGGCACATGAGTCAATTTGGCTATGAGTCAAAATCCCGTACTCCCAGTGAACATCCCAATCCCCACTAAAAACTAAAATGGGTGGTGCGCCTAATCTCACTGGCTGAGTGGATGGCCCAAAAAAGTCCAAACTTTGTATTTGCCACTAAAATGGTCTTCCCAAAAAGTTTAAAGTTCATGAACTCAGGAAGTGAGTAATTATATACCCCACAAAACATCAAAATAGGTGGTACATGGGTGTTCATCCGCCCCAAAATGGAGGCATAGGTTGCGACTCATGACCCATGGCCATGAATCCATTTGGCGGTCCGGGCGCCCCTCGAAGTCCCCGATCTTGGCGAAGCCCAAGGGGTCGAAGAAGCCCAACGGCTCCGTGACGCCAATGGCCACTTCCGACGGCTGAAACCTCAAAATTTCGAAC